GCTCCCTCCTTCAGGTGGTGGCAGTATTGCTGGTGCTCTCCAGGCTGAGTGGAGGTGGCCCAGCAAGGCTGGAGCAGGTTCCCATAGCTCGGCCCAGCTCCCTCCTCCAGATCGGGCAGCTGCAGCATGCCCTCAGGGTGGAGCGAAGTTGGTTTGCAAGGCCCAAACAGGTTCCCCTGGCTTGGCCCAGCTCCCTCCTCCAGGTGAGGCAGCTGCAGTTCTTGATTCACTCTTTCTGTATTTATTTTTGTTGGTGAATTGAGGCCATTTTCATTAACATTTACAATTGGCATGCATTGACACATTTCTTACATTTAATCCTCTTGTTGGCCCCTCCATTTTTCCCTCCATTAAATTACCTGCCATATTTGGCATCTCCCTCTGTTGGTGATCCTAGAACTGTAGTCATCTTTATCTCTTTCTAAAATATCCTTCAGAGCTCTTTGTAGGGTTGGTTTAGTGATCATAAATTCCTTCATTTGTTCTTTATCATGGAAGTGGCTTTTTTTCATCAATTTTGAAAGACAATTTTGTAGTACATACCAATCTGGGTTGTAAGTTGTTTTCTTTCTGGATTTGATACACTTCATGCTCTTCTTGAGTGATTGTGTTGAGAAGTTTACCACGATTTGGATGGGCTTTCTTTTATAGGTGATCTGTTTCTTTCTCTAACAGCTTTTAATGTTCTTTTGCTGAATTTCTTTTTGCTAAATTTATGTGTGGGTGTTAATTTATTTGATTATGGTTAGTTTTTGGTCTACATAACTTGCTTATCTAAATGTGAGATACTTTAGCCATACTTGGAAAGTTATCTATTTCTTCTGTAAATAGACTTCTATGTCATTTTGCTGGTACCTGATTTTTCAGTGACACTTATTCTTAGTTATTATTCTTGTATTGTGGTACAGTTGTTAAATTGTTACTACCTTGTTCTTTGTTATTTCTAAGATACTTTGCTCTCACAATTGCTAGCTGCAATCCTCTTTTCAGGTCTGAAGGTCTGTATTCAGTCTCTTTGAAGATGTTTTGCCAGAGTTTGATGAAATTTTTAGTTTCCTGTGTATCTCTTTGAAACTGATTCATGCATTGTTATTGCTTCCTTTATTTTTCATTTTCCTTTTTTTTATATTTATCTTTTTAAAATCTATATCTTCCATATATATGCTCTGTAATTTTTCATTATGTTTGTGATTTCTTCTTTTACCTAAGATATTATTTCTTTCACAGTCATATTAAGTTGTTTATTTCAGTTGCTATCATTCAGAGATTTCATGTATGTGACTTCCAATTTTTTCTATATCTATATCTCCCAGAGTTGCTCTGTGTGGTCTGGAAGTCTGAGATTGCCTTGCTCCTTAATCTTGTAATTTTCCTGGATTCATCCTGACAAACCAGGTGTGGAATCCAAGGAGCTTCCTGAATTTGCTGCCACTCTGTGAGAAAGTAATGATCCACGCACCTGGGTTTCACCAAACATAAGATCTCAGGGAGACAGTGGGACATGGGGCAAGATTATCCAAGGACTGCATAGCTCTACTGATGCTTCCCTGATTGTCTTTTATGTGGGTGGAGTTGCTTCTTCTCTTATTCTGTGTGGCTGTACCAGGACTCCACAAATGATGTCAGACTTTCAGGGGTGTGTTTGATTCCCATAGCCTCTTGCTGGCTGCTTGTGGGAAGCAAGCATCTCCAGTTGCAACCTCTTGGTATACAGGCCTCTTTTGGCTTTTTCTCCCTTCCTATGCTGATTACCTGAGGGAAGCAAGCACTCCAATGGCAGCAGGCACACACAGATGAGTATGACTGTTTCTCCCTGCCTGTGCTGGTTGCCCTTAGGAAGCAAGCTCGTGAAGAGTAACAAGCATGCACTGGTCAGTCTAGTTTTTTCTCCCTGCCCATCCTGGCTCCCCACAGGAGGAAAGATCCCCAATGGTGGTCACTTTTGATTCTATGACAGAAAAGCCTGGGTCAAAGCTACTCCTAAAATTTATATGGAACTATAAATCACTTAGAATAGCAAAATAAATTTTGGGTAATAAGGGCTTCACAATGACATCACAATTTCAGACCTCAAATTATACTACAATTATACTACTATCATTATGCTTTAATGATCAATAAAGAATGGTCTTTAAAAATGGCAGGTCAACAGAACACAATAGAAGGTAGAGTTATGGCTCCACATACACTTATATAAACTGTAAAAAGAAGCCTAATCTCTTGACTGAAGGAAAGAGACTCATTAGCAAATGGTGCTAGGAAAAATTGCTGTTCACATACTGAAGTCTGAACTTTGCTTTGTAACTGTAGCCATGCACTAAAATAAAATTGAAAAGAATCTAACATCTCAACAAATAAGTGAAACACTTAATTTGCAAGCAGACAAAATACATAAGCTTTAAAAGCCATATATTTATATTGTCTTTTATAATAAAATCCCCATCATGAAACAAATAATTCCAAGATTGACAAGTGAGATCTCATTAAATTTAAATAGTTTTGCCCACAAAAAACTTACCAACAAAATGAAGTGGTATCTATAGAATGGAAAGCATTTGGCCAGCTACTCCTTAGACTGAGGAATAACATCTAGAAAATATTAAAACTCAAAAGAAATTAAAAGCCACCCATATTCAAAGACCCAACTAAAATGAATAGATAATTTCTCAGTTGAAGCAATGCAAACAGCCTATAAATACATAAGGAAAGGTTACATACACATCACTAGAGGAATCTTTTCATTGCCATTCTGATATAAACAGAGACCACTTTAAATCCCTTCCCCCTGCTATGCTTTTAAAGCTGTTGTGGATACATCATCATAGGTCACTAAGGGTAAAGAATTATAGCTACACCATACAATTCTGAATTATTTTTTGACACTTTTCTTAAGGAAATGCAATTCCTTGTATGTTTTCAAAGCCTGATTCTGGTGAATAGGCACCCTCTATACTAAGTTTTTCCCCTCAAAAGTTCAAGTGTCAATTTTTCCCACAACCTCCCTTTTTGTAGTTATGACCCTCTAAAATAACTTGTGCCTGTATCAGCATGGCTAGTTAGGCCTGTGGTTACAGAGCAAGCGCCCTAGGGTTTGTTCTGAAATAAACCTGTCCTGTTAAGATCTTACCTCTCCTTCTTTCTCCCTAACAGCTCACCATTCCAGAAATGCAAATGGAAAAATATCAAGATTCCATATTATCCAAGACAAAATGGTTACCAGCAGGAAGTAAATCAATAAGAAATATTAGTGAGGCTATGAAAAGTTACTCTTTTTCATTGTTGATGGGAGTATAAATTGGTTGAACCACTATAGAAATCAGTTTTGAGATTTAGAAACTAAAAATATAAATTATATTTTGCATGCTATTTTACCACAAGAGTTAAGGATTTCAAGCCACAGTGATATATGTATTTCCATGTTTATAGCAGCACAATTCACGCTAGCTGAATCTTGGAAACAGTATATATGCTCATCAACAGATGAATGGTTTAAGAAAATATAGTATTTATATGAAAGAGAGTAACAGCCTAAAGAAAGATAACTTTGAGACACTTGAAGATAAGAGGATGCAACTAGAGACCAAAATATTGAGAACTAAATTAGATAAATGGGCTTGAACAGTGTGTGCTTTGGCTTATAAGTTTTATTGAACAAAAGAGAGAAAAGAAAAAAGTTTTCTAAATATATCTCTGTTGTCAGTTTTTTAGTTTTACTTCACTATTAATTGAGAGATCACTTTGGAGAATTTCCATTATTTTTAATACGTTAATATTTTTATTGCTGCTATGGTCATGATCTATTTTGCATAAAAAGAAAAATAATTCCCAGAACAGAAAAATCTATAAACACAGAAGATGAGTGGTTTGCTAGTTTGAAGTGACAGAGATTGAATGATGGCACTAGTAGATAAACTGACCGTTTTGGGAAAAACAACGATGATCTAAATTTGACTAAGGCCTTGTTTATAAAATATTGTCAATGTGCTAAAATATACTGCATCTTACATTTTAAGTTGTAAATGTTGTGCTATGCTAATTTTATCTCCATTAAGCTGTCACTGCAACAAAATTAAAAGAAGAAAAACAACCAAAGAATTATTTGAGCACATGAGTAGTCAATGTTGTGTACCTATCTCTATAATTTAATAATTGTGAATAAGCTCAACAAATTCATTTAATTTTCAGAGTATTTTACTAACAAATGAAAAAGAGGTTGCACTTTGATTTAGTGCATATCATTATTGCTAAAATAGTGTTTATGCATACTATATTTTCAAGGTTTACTGGTTAGATATGACCAGATTTTAAGAGAAAATCATTATCATTTTCTTTTCTTAACATTATTGCCATAATATGATGATTGAAAATTATTTGTAATTTATTTATGTAGATGAGTGTTTTCCATATGTCAAAATGACAATTATCTCTCTCTTCAAACCAATTGTTTAAAAGCTTTTCTTTCTATCAAGAACTGGTCCTCACATAGTTTTTTTCCTCTCTGTGTGTACACTATGCAGTGTATTGTACATCTATGTATAACTATAGATATTTAAAGACATGGAGAATTTTTTGCATTATTGTTCCCTAAAGCATAAACTTTAAAAATGAATGCACACAATATTTTGTTCATTTGTGCCACCTTTGGTTTTACTTTCTATGTGTTTTGAAAGTAAATAAGTCAAAAAATAATATGAATTTCTGGTTTTCATTTACTCAAAATCCTACATGTTAAAGTGGCAGAAACATCTGACTATAAAGATACTGTAAAAAATTAAAGATCTACTTGAAGGAGGAGGGAAATCAAATGTACTCTAATGGTACTAAACAAAAATGCTCAGAGCTTCAATTAACAGTCCTAACTAAAGGGATATATTCCTTCCATTTTGTGTCTTACTATCCAGTTATATACAACTATTGGGTAAAACAAAAAGTAGATAATATTCAAGGCCACATATAGGAAAAAACATATATTCAAGGTCACATATAGGAAAAAAAGAACATATAGTAAAAATATTTTATTAATTCAAATCAAATACATCAGGAGTGTACAAGGTTTGAGGAATAAAATTATTTAGGGTAAGTAACAATTTGTAAAACATGTAGAAATTTGTATAATTCATTTGGTATTTTTCAAGTGATGTGCGCTATTAAATCTTCTACAAAATAAAATATTTGCATTAACAATGTGCTGTGAAATTAACTAAATTCACCATGTCTTCTCTCTGCCCTAAAACATGGGTCCTCGCAGCTAATCCTACCCTTTCTCTTATATTTTTGCTCATGAAATTGTGATCTGCCCAAATTTTAATCAGAACTTTCTCTAATCCACTTGCCAGACTATTTTCAGACTTTTTTCTATTTGCATCCTCTGTAAGTTTTCCATTTCAATATAACATGCAGATTCATCTTGGCTTCCCATCTTCACTCTCCCAGAGTCGCTTTTTGTTCCAGGAAAGAAATAGTCATAATATTTTTTTAAGTAAGTTAAGTTCATTTTATATAGAAATATCTCTACTCTATTTTAGTTATCTGAAGATGATCTCTCCTGCTATATTAACTACTACTTGCCTCTGACGTACTTTCACATACACAAAATGTCCAGTGGATCACACTTTATTCAAATCAAAAATGTTTCTGGAAATACAACAAAGTATTCAGGATTCTTACTTTTCTCAATTTAATACATTATGGTTTTGTTGATTCCCATTTTTTAAATGATTTATATGAAGCATTTTTTCAAAATTAAGCAGAACTATTAGAAGAACAACTGAAATTTGGATTGTATATGCCTTAAATATGATTATAGCATACAATTAACTAAAGAAAGCAATGGACTTGTAAAATATGGATAATCATCTTGTAATGCCTCTATCCATGCCAGTGGAGTTAAATGAAATTAACCCAATTCTGATGCCATGCACTTGAAAGAGCTCTACTCTCTCTTTTTCTTCTTTCCTGCATTCATAAACTTTTGAAAACAAAGCAAGCAACATTTTATGAGAAGAAAAGTAATGGATGCAACAGTAGCCAGGAGGAAGCCAATCACATCCAGAGAGTGGTACTGGTACCAAGTGAGGTTGTAGGCAGGAGGCCTCAGGTGCTTGGCCCCCTTGTGGCGCATGACAAACTCAATCCAGAAGACTGCTCTGTCCAGTGGCTTCATAGGCTGATGATGATGAATAGCTGATAACCTCAGAGCATTGTCTTTATAGCTGAAGGAAAACTAAGTAAGTTCAGAATTATTTAGGAAACTACAGAATTAATATTTTAGGGGGTTGTTAAACTGAAGATTTTAATAAATCTGCCAATAGACCAGTTGTAAAAGTCAAAAACGGTACAATTTAAAGACAAAAGGGGAATTCTTGTCATGGTTTATAAAACAATTATGAGTAGACTTATTAAGGAATACACTATTAAGTAGAAGCCAGTATTGTAGTTTCATCTATAGTTTAGTCATTAAAACTGTAGAATAGAATAACTTTCTCAAATGTAGCACGGACTATGATTTATTGACTTTTTATACTTATCTGCCTTTTGAATTCACAGGTAAATGGAAAATATAAACCCTTGCAACATTCATGTTTTTTCACATTTCATTGTTACTCCTCTGTGATCATCCTTTGTGATTCATCTCATTTCCTTTACAGGTTATTGCAAATTTCTACAATTTACTTAAAACATGTACACTTTTTTTCAATAAAAAAATTAAATAATTTATTGTTACATTCCTGCATGGTTACTCATGATAGCTTTTGGACTAAGAAAATTTTTCTTCCATTGGTTTTATTTCAGAATCAATGGTACTTTCTTGGGATTCATGCAAAAAGTTATCAAAAAGTATTCTAAACATTTTGTTGAAAGTTTGTACTTACAAAGGGTTGTTAGTGACTTTCTTCAATGCATTTAGCAAATCTCTACTTGATAATGTGTTGAATTCCAGTTTAACAGCTGCTCCTTTAGCCTCCATGTGAGCAATGTTATCATATTGTTCCGCAAACAAGGGAATGCCAACCATTGGGATTCCATGGTAGATTGCCTCATAAACTCCGTTGGCTCCTCCATGAGTTATAAAAGCTCTGGTTTTTGGATGACCTAAGATTAGGTGAATGTAAGCATAGTTAGTCATAAGTGTTAGAAATATGATGAGAAATGAACGATTAAAGTGACTAAATGGAGTGTTATTTTATAGATAAAAATTTCATAGCTATAAAACTGCAATGGTAGTGTTTTCATTTCTTAGAAAAAAAAGCACCTTACGTACTGAAAAGGAAAGTAAATGCTACCACATAGATATTATGTAAGCTTTTAACAATGAATGCATATTCCTCAGGGTAAGTTTGTATTATAACTTTTTTATACTATATGCAGGTTCATTCACTAATTTTGACATAAAATGTGTGCAAAGTAAGACAGTGTGATATTGTCATCATAAAAATGTGAATTTTTCCTTTTAAAATTACATCACTGAAAATAAATTAATTGTGTTATTTTAAGTAGTATTTGTAAGTCCCTATTTCTGTGGAAAAGCAGCTGGTATTTGGTATTTCATAAGCAGTGATTTAATTAGAAACAGAAGTACAACCCTGGAATTTATTAAAACATCCTCTTTGAGAAACAAGCACATTTAAAATGAGAATCTTAAGATTCTTTCTAAATATTCCAAAAACCAACTATTACCATTGATTTTACTTACTCTAACACTGGAACTATGCATAATAAAGTTAGGTTTTGGTTTTGATTTAGTAACAATAAATGTTCACAGGTTTGTTTCCTTGAGCAATCATCAGCCTTACCACCTTAGGTTTTCAGCATTTGTTCTCCAGCATCTTACCAAGTAGGTCATTCTGGGGGATCCACTTGTACAATCGAGTGTTGGCTCCTAAAGTATCTGGTTTCTTACCATCAAATCTCCAAACCACCTGTTAGGGTGTAGAGTTCATTTTACCATATTTTGAATTTCAGAATGTAGAGAACATCAATTTAAGAGCCTTTCAAAGAATAGAATTTTAAAATGAAGACAAGTAGACTAAATATTAAGAATTACAAAATGATTGACACAGAACAAATTTTTCAATACTTATTTTATATTTATATTTAATTATTTTGAATGTAATCATGATATTTCAAACATAACAGACAAATGTGACATTATATGCTGGGACAAATTATATTATTTTATTTTATTTTATTTAGCAGAACATATTTATTGAGAGAAATAAAACTTCTGTTCCATAGAAAGACAGAAGAGTTCCAGAGTTGGTTGCCCTGGGTCATATTATTTTAAAAATTGCTTTGCAATTACAATTTTTTACAAGGAATAAAAATATTCTAAGGGCTTGCATCTTCATTAATACACACAAATTTTATACCCTCTTGTTCTAATATTAATGTTAACTGATATTTTAAAAATCATAAAGTTTTTTTCATAATCACTTGTGCCAGAAACTATTTTATTCATTGTGCGATATCATTTTGATACATAAAATATCTAATCCACATAAGAATCCTTTTTTTCAGAAATCTATTCCTTAGCTTTTCAAAGTACTTATAAAGTGTATTGCATTAAAAATTGTAATATCTTGTTATAGAGTCTACAATATAGAAAAATTTTATTATGCATTTTTGACAAAAATACTATCACAAGTACTAAGAATGAAAAATAAATGGTAAAGAACCGGTTTGTAATTTATGAGCAATGCAGCTTTTCAAAAAAAGTACTTATTTTTAAATATTTAAACTTTTTCAACTAATGTTTCCTTCTTCCATGATGCTGTGCAAAATTTTAACAACAGATATATTAAGATGGCCTACTATACCTGAAGCATGTCACCTTGTTCTAAAATAAGGTACTGGTTATAGAAATTACAAACTATTTTCTTAAAATGGAAAATCACTTAGAAATAATTGAGTTCTAATTATTGTGAAAATGTTAAAAGAAACCTCAGTTTCTCAGCCAAATATTGGCATACGAAATTACAAAGCTGTAGTATCTGAAAGTAACTAAAATCTACTGTAGTTCATAGCTACTTAAAGACTGAACTTGAATTAGGTATGTTAGAAAAGTGTTCCTTATAATATGCTATAGAGAGGGGTCATAGCAATTTACCTAGACAGATTTCTTTCAGTTTGACTCTTACTTGTTTTTGGTCTCATGATTGGGAGAACATTAAGCTGGTGGGATAAAAAACAGAATATTTGTGGGGTATATTTTATATTGCATAGGATCTACCATAAAAGAAGTAGCCATCTCCACACTGTTTTTAACAACTACCTACTTCAGATGTGGGCAGGGCTCTCTCAGGTTAATTTCTATTTTTGCTTTTAATAAACATGGCTGAGTGGGTACATGGCTCCTGGACTGGCACTCTTGTTTCTCTTTGCTTTCAGTACCCTCTTGAAATGTACATTCAAGAAGTCTATTCCAAAATTTAGATAAATAAACACAGGACAAAACATGAAAATGTTAAAGTTTACTTAAAATAATTTGCAATATCTGATTCATGTCACTGTGACAGTTAATTATTAAGGGAAATTTAACTCTTTCTGTAACAATGCTTATGCACACAACAATCTCAACAATCCTGTAGGAAAAAAAGTGCAAGTTTCTGAAATCAGATCTTTGCAAAGCTTCGCAATTTCTCCAGTATATATGTGCCATTGAAGCACTTTGCCCACCTTTTGTGGAATCTCTCCAAGGGCTGAGGCAATCACATTGGCCTTTGATTCTGATATGTTACTGACCATGGACCCCAGAGAAAATACCACAATACCATGGTCTCCAGAGCTCTGCACAAAGTTTTCCAATTCCTGTGAAGAAAGAATAGCTCCATAAAAAAAAAAAAGACAAGAGCACAGCAAACATTATGGAAAGCAGTATAATGTTAAAAAATGAAAATGGTAAGATTAAGAAAGAATGGCAAGTATAGAATCTGGTAAATTTTTCATAAGATGAAGTTCACCACATTCAGCATTTCAGGTAAAGATTTACAAGAATTAATGTTATTGATACATTCGTGGAGTCAGAGTTACAAACAATAGTTTCTTATACAACTCAACCTTTTTATTTAATGTGCCTTATATGACAGTTTTTAAAATGCTTTATTCTCATTTATATTTCCTTTTAATCTTAGAAAAGGGATATAATTTATTCATTTACTTTTCACCCTTGTTTGCATCTCACAACTTATTGTGGCTGATTTACAGTTACTGAAGAATTTTGGTGCCTCAACTATAGTGATAGGATACACACACACACACATGCACACACACACACACACACACACACACACATATATGTATATAATTTATTCTTAAGTTTCTGCTATGCCTGATTTAGTGTTATCAATGTTTCCTAGGTAAAGCAGTCATGATTGTGTGTCAGATACATGTTTTCTTTTTTGATCCTTTCCTAAATTTGGATGTTAAGATTACTTCCAAGGTTTATTTTTATCAATAATTATTAGATTGGTTTCTGCATCTTGGTTATTTTTCTCTGTGTACATTCAAATGAGTAACCTATTTAACCAAGGGATATAAACTGCATTAAGACTACATGTTAGTTTACAAATTTCTTTTGTGCAATGTATTAACATTATTATTAATATTTTTAATATTACACTGTTTTACAGTGTTCTTTTTGTCTTCTTTCTCTGCTTTTATTTTCTTGTTATGAAAACTCATATTTTAATTAGAAAAACAGTAAGTATGTAGATATATTGTTTAGTACATGCATTAATAATGCTTCAAATATTTGACATGTGGAATTTTTGCACTATCTAAATAAACTGCATTCAAAACAATACAAGGTTTTTAAAACCCAAAATTAGTAAAACAGAAAATAAAAAGGATTTCTTAATGCATCATATATAATGAAATGATAAAGAAAACAATTGCTACATATATTTTGGAACTATACTGTCAATTTAAAATGCATCAGATTTTTGTGTCCCTTCACAAGGAATGTCACTCTGTACAGTCAGAGTTCTTTTGTGATTCTCATCAACTTGAATTTCAGAGAAATCACAGGAACTGTGAGTTTCTTAATTCATATGCAACAAATCTTTTTTTTTTTTCTGCACTCATTCTGCCAGGTAATGTAGATGCCATAATCATATCAGAGGAGAGACCTTTACTCAGGTATCTTGCAGCCTGTGGCTATGTTATTAAATGCCTGTTTCAAGAAGGCAATTCATCACTTTTGGACTCTAAGATGTAAAATTCTGGTAAATAAAGGGAAGGATGGTTTTGATGCTGTATGCAAGATAAGGATATGTGAAGTTTGACAGAAAATACTGCTGTGAGTTCACAAGAACATTATGCTGCCATGTTCTTATTTGTTCATATATTTTCTCATGTTATCTTGTTTGTATTATTGCCTGAACTTTTAGATTTAACTTCAAGGAAGTTTATAGGATTTCCTTCCACTGTATATTACATTATTATTTTAAACTATTGGAATCAGATCCCATTTAATGAGATTGCATTTAAAATACTTTCAAAGGGTGGAGATATATATATATAGTGTCCACTTAGCATTGTGAAGTACTGAGTTTGATATCTCATATTGAAAATACATACATACATACAAAGATATATAACTTTTCAAATATTACATATGTAATATTAAAACAAGATAATAACAATATCTATTGACTTCTCCATTCTTCCATTGATGCTAAGCTATTGAATAAATGCTGCAGAATTTGTCATTTGAATGTTTTAAATTTTATTCCCACAAAGGTAAATATGAAGTTGTACTTTGATTGTAGGCATAGCTGTTGTTTTCATATGAACACCTTCCTCTAGATTCCAATCATGTGTTCTCTGAACTCTTACAATTACCATCTAAAAAGCTTCCCATGTCTAATATTTTTCATTCTTAAATCTAATCCATTGATGTCATCTTCATGGACTATTTTAAAAGTATATAAATCTGATAATATTTACCTAGCTCAATTTCTTTCTTTGTATAATTGATGCTTTCATTAGATTTTTGACTCTATTTCCTGGTCTTAAATTATGTGTCTAGCAAAATAAGCTTCATTATGAAATAAGCTTGCAGTTCTTCAGATATTTATCCTTACATCTGTGCTCTTTTGTATCTATATTAACTGTTCATCACTTGGCCTATTTCTGCATCTTTTTCTCTTGCTATTATTATCATGGCATATATTTTCATCAGAAGGGAAAGTTTTCTCAGTATTTGAGTGCTTCCCTTTAAAGTTATACTTCACCCAAATTTCATTAATTATATTCTATCTTTCCAAGTGTTATATAAGACTGTGGAGAATACACAGTGTCTTTGTTGTGTCTAGGCTCATCAAACATTTATTGATGGTATTCACTAGTCAATTTACAGATTTCTAATGAACAAAGTGGTAACGAGTAACATAAAGACCATAATTTAAAAGATGCTTTTTAAAGTACTTTGTATGCATTGTTCTTGTTTTTTGTAATGGTTATGAAGTGCAGACCATTGTGATGAAATCAAAGTACAATTTTTGAAACAATGTCTTTCTACACAATCTTGAATCTGCTGTGTTGTCCAAGCTTGTTTGAACTGCTGGTTCTCCTGCCTCAGCCTCTGGATTTCTAGGGTTATAGGCATGTCATACCATGCCTACTTGATGTATGAGTTTTTAGTCAGCAAGGTACATTTTCCCTTTTCTCATATCTTTCTGACTGGGAGTCAAGACTCTTAATGAACAGGGCAGAGCATACTCAGTGAAAATTAAAATAAAAATAAGACAGGAATAAACTTACCTTAGGTAGAGGTTTGGCAGATTTGCAATGGAGTCCTCCAACAAACTCAAAATTTGGTAAAGTAGGGCGTGGAAATTCCATATCCCAGTAGCTTCGAATAAGCCACATATCTGCTTTCTGCATTAGCTCATAAAATTTAGTGGGTTTTCCTGTGTTGTAAAGAAGAAAAAAGTAGAAAACACTGAGTAATAGTCATAAATGAAATTTAGTTATCTATAAATAATAAAATTTTTATATTTTACGTATGTTAAATTTAATCTGTGAAAAGCATACAGTGAAAATAGACTATGTCTCTAATATTTCCTCAGTGTATTCTCAATCATAAGCAGTAATTACAATGCATATTATATTTAAAAAAGCAAGCACTTATGTTTCTCTGAATATGCCAATACAATACATATAAATATCAACAAATAGTCTAGTGGAGTCATATAATCCTACCATAACCACGGAACAAACTTTTCAAGAATTCTGTAGTTTCTACCACTTGCCAAGTTGGCACCTAATGCAAGTAAACTGTGATTTCTGTAAGATTATGGCTGAAATTCTTGTACAGCCATTTCTTTTGGTGCATACTGGGAGTGTAATAATATTTATTACATATCTTTTGGAAAATTGGCAGAAATTATAGAAACAGAGATTGGTGCTTATACTTGACTATGAGTCATTTTTTCATTATGAAACATGACAAAATACATTTCATATATGTCTGTATTTCTACAGATTTTAAACATCTGAAATGCATAATTCTTCAGGACCTATTCATGTGAAATCACTAAAATGTCCAAGTTATAATTTTTGAGTCTGGGATAAAACATCATATTTTGTAAGAGGGAAGGTATCTTTTAGGTAGTACAGGAAAAATGGTAATTTTATGCAAGGAAATATTTAATAGATAAAAAATAATTTCCCTCTATATTACTAGGTCCTAGCCTTGTTTGTTATAAACATGTAGCTTCAACTTCCTTGTCTTCATTCATAAAGATAATTGGGAGATGCCTAATTACATTTATTTTTAAATAAAAAGAAGGTAAATGTGATATAAAATGGCACAATTGAAGTCTTCTAACCTCCCTTTGGAATTGAGTGGCCTTCCAGAATGACCTATATCAGTACTGAGACATTGACAGCTGTGAACCTTCTAACATAAACATTTGTACTATATCTGTGAAATTCATGGATGATTTTAATCCATAGTTCATTATTTAACAATGAAAAACAAATTTATCTTATTCAAGCTGACTCACAAAGACACAAGATATTAAAGATTTCTCTCTGATAGTTAAAAATATGACTTACCTAAAATTTCACTGTAAAGCTTGTTCCAGTTCTTCTGATTAAACAATTCAATCCAAAAGTCAAAATAAAGCATGCATATCATGTTTTTTACCCTTTCTATGAAAGTCATTTGACCACTTAAATGTGACAATGTAACAGGAATGTAAGAAGGAGGTAATGGAAGCCCTCCAGCATTCTTTTCCAGTTGAAAACCAGGGGAGAAGCGAAGACTGTACACAAAAGGTAATTTCAATAGCTCAGCCACCAGCTCACCACAAGGAGCAACAGGATCTGCCAAGAGGACATCAAATTTTGATTCCTGGAGCTTTGTCAAAAGTTTTTTATTTGATACTATTTCTTTGCAAACATTCTCCCAAACACTAGAATATTCTGTAAGAATCTCTTCCATCTCTGGATTATATGCCAAACAAGTATCTATTGAACCAATATCCATCCACTTAGTCATCCATTTAATATAAAGTTCTTCCATTTGATCTCTATGGATAGATGTGGGAAATATTTCAAAATTAATTCCCGATGCATTAACACCAACAAAAATGAAGCTTGAAGGTATCAGAACTGTCACTTCATGTCCCCTCTGGATCAATTCCTCTACTATGTTCTTCATATTCATCCAGTGGCTGTATTCCATTGGCCATACCAGCACATTTCCACCGCTCCCAATGCAAAAATAACAACACAATTGTAGCAGTAGCAGAGCTGAGATCCATTTCAAGGACATATTGTTAAAAATGCTGTATTTCTTTTCAAATGGCATTAGCTTCTGTTATTCAAGTCTACATTCAGGGAGGAATTAGCCAAGAAGTTAAAAGATAACTTGTACTGATCAAAGTAAATACATCGAACTGACAGAGCATGGATACTGATGACTAATAGAAAATACAAATATAAATGATGACATGTTTTCATCACAGAATTAAATTTTTCTATTGGTTAATTGATTTCAGATAGCTTGGACCCAAAGACTGGCAAGTGTCAAACACCTGAATTATGTATACAATATATAAATGCTTCAAGAACATTGATAAATGCACGGTGGCTGTCCCTACAATCTTGTGACACAGATCTAGTGATTCAGTACTTACATGATTGAAATGTAATTCTTGAAATCATGGCTCAAAACCATTTTGTAACATAGTTGATGAAGTATAATTCACAGGACAATTTAATAAAGTGACATTTAAAGTGTAATGCACATTTGTAATACATTTACAGAAACATAACATTCAATTTTCAAATATTTTAAATAGGATATTTTGTGCCATCTCTCATTATATCTGCAGAATCAAAATAATAAAATACAACAACAGTTTCCCTAAAATGTTAGAGTGCTAAGGTAAAGAGAGGATGTGGCAGCATGTCGAAGAGTACAGATAGTAACGATGACCATGTAACAAAGTGACTAAGCACACAGCGTCCATTGTCTTCACTTTTTAGATCAATTCAGAACAAAGAGATATTTGTCTTTGTAAAAATTTAAAATGAAGTCTTTTCATTGAAATTTACTGAGATTTGCTGTTTTGCAGATTTATTTATTCAGCCAGTCGCCCTGGCATTCTGTCTAACCGTGAACATCAATGCTGGTCACCTGCTCATACATCTAACTGGGGGAGCCACACTAGTTTTAGCTACCATCAGCACCCCTACAACTCTAGTTACATTCATTATTTTATTTCTCTTAACAATCTTAGAAATTGCTGTAGCAATAATTCAAGCCTATGTATTTACACTACTAGTAATTCTTTACTTACACGACAACTCCTAATGACCCACCAAACACATGCTTATCTTATAGTGAACCTCAGCCCAAGGCCACTCACAGGGGCTCTAACCGCCCTCTTTCTGACCTCAGGCATAATTATATGATTTCATTTTCACTCAAAAACATTATTAATGTTGAGCTTCTTAGCCAATGCTCTCACTATATATCAATGATGACGAGACATCCTATGAGAAGGGACATATCAAGGACACCACACAACAATTGTACAAAAAGGATTATGCTACAGAATAGCTTTATTTATTATTTCTGAAGTATTTTTTTCTTCTCAGGCTTTTTCTGAGCATTTTATTACTCTAGTCAGGCCCCAACTCCTGAATTAGGGGGATTCTGACCACCCGCAGGTATTAACCCATTAAACCCCATAGAAGTTCCCCTCTTAAATACAACAGTTATTCTAGCATCAGGTGTGTCGATCACTTGATCCCACCACAGCCTAATAGAAGGAAATTGCAAACAAATAATTCAAGACTTAGCTATCACAATTGCTCTAGGCATTTACCTTACTCTGCTTCAAACCTCCAAATACTATGAAGCCTCATTTTCTATTTCTGATGGAGTCTATGGTTCAACCTTTTTCATTTCCACAGGATTTCATGGCCTACCCATAATCATTGGATCAACATCCCTAGTAGTATGCCTCCTCCTTCAACTACACTATCACTTTATATCTAAACACCATTTTGGTTTTGAAGCAGCTGCCTGATATTTACACTTTGTAGGTGTAGTGTGGTTATTCCTGTACATTTCCATTTACTGATGATGCTCATGCTTTCTTAGTATAAACCAGTATTGCTGACTTCCAATCAGCAGACCCCAGAAATTCTTAATCAAATAGTGATATTTTTGGAGGATTCCACTGCAAATGTGCTACACTTCCCTGGGTTACTGCATTCCTTGTCTTTTCTTCTATTTGCTTTGCATATTTGATGGGAAGGATTTTGCTTTGTTCTTCTAGAGTTCTAACTCACAATGGGAATGATATGTAAAGTGTGCTAAAGAACTGTCAATTTGAAAGACAGACATTTCATTACCATTACGTATCTTCTTTTATCATCATACAATAATAAATTGAAATAGCTGTGATATTTTGAGAAAAATATCAGTGAAACTAAATATTTTTTATTCAACACACAAAAAATTTTCAACTGTGAGGTCTAAAAAGTTTAAAAAGTGATTGGCGTGAACAACCATAATTATATGTTAGATGTAAAGAAAAAATGTAAACACAGATTCTATCCCCCAACACTTTAGAGAAAGCTTGGAGATTATTATAAACAAGTGACACAGATTGTCAAGAGATTATTAAAAGAATATACACAATCCTAAAATAAATTTTTGAGGGTAACACAGGATGTATTATGCTCAAATGTGATTGACATGATTGATTATTGAGTGTGATTTTAGGGTGTACAAAATAAGGAAAATAATTGAAAAGAAAAATATGTGGAAAAAGAATTCAGGCAGTATCACTTGTCAGTGCCAAACTTAGTTTTGAAATAAGAAGCTGATTAAAGAGGTAGATTTTACTTGAGATGTAATAAAAAGTTTTAAACAATTGGAGTATTAAGAACCCAGGAGAATTATTTAACAATGGAAGATAAAATCTAATTTACTATCCAAATACTGTATTGAGTTAACAGATAATTGCTGAGTGTAAGACTGGGTAAAGAGAGAATATATGACAGGTTATAAGATTTTAATTGACAAATGATTAAAAACTAAATTAAAATATTCATAATGATTATTGTGTCTATTACTTTTCTTATTGCTGACAGAAAACACTCAAAAGTCATAGTTAAAGGGAGAAAATTTTATTGTAGCTCACAATTTGTAGAAGTTTCAGTCCGTAGTTGGCTGGCTCAAATTCAGGAGGGGAATTTAGGAGGACAGAGGAAAAACAGCCTCTGGCAACTAGGCAGAAAGTAGCAGAAGCAGCATCAATATCAAGATGCCCTTTCTCTTTTATCTCATCTGAGTCACAAGACTGTTGGATGGTGCCACCCACACCCAGAATGAGCCTTCTTTTTATCAACACCCAGAACTATGCTAAACCAATTACTGGAGTAATTTAGTTGTCACATACACTTAACATATATTCATTCATAAATCCAGCACTATAAAACACCAACAGTAAGTTCATGGTGCTTCAAGTGGACATTTATATATAAAACCAAATACTATCTTTGCAATAATAATAATAATAATAATTAATATTAATTAATATAGTTAATATTAATAATTAATATAATTAATTATATACACCATGAAGATTTATTAATAATGAATCTTCATGGTGTATATAGTGTACCTGAGTCTTTTAATATATGATGTCAAAATAATATTTACTGACACACTTGGGATACCCCCCGCCCCAGGCATGACTGAGCTGCTTCAGACTGCGTGGGCCCACCCAAGTTGCAGAATACCTGGGAGCCCCCTCAGCAAGACTGAACTACCTTGGACTACTATTGTGGGCTTGCCCCTTCACCGGGCATGCCTGGGTCAGTTTGGACTGCCATCCCGGGCCTGACCCTCACCCTGGAACACCTGGGACACACCACTGCATGACTAAGCCTCTTTGGACTGGTACCGCAGTCCCGCTTCTTAGCTGGGTATGCCTGGGTCACCTCAGACTACCTCCACAGGCCTGCCATTTGGCCTGGAATACCTGAGATGCCCCCAGAAAGACTGAGCCTGCTCGAACTGCTACTGTGGAACCGTCCCTTGGACATATATGCCTGGGATGGCCTGAATACTGGCATGGGACCACCCATGGGAAAACCCACCTGCCTCCTGGATCTAGGACTGTGGTTGATCTCTGGATCCAACCACCTCCCCCAAAACCTTGGACTACAGAGGATTACCGTGCTGGCTGGATGGGTGACTCAAGAAACCCTCACCCAAACTGAAGATCTCACCAGGCTCAAGTCAGTGGTGAGTTTGCCCCTAAAATAGAGCTCTGCAGTGGGTAAATAGGAGCAGAAGTGAAACTCCCTCCAACTGTAAGACCTTGGAAAACCTGGCAAGAGAGAGAGTTTGTAATTCCATCCTTCACACGAAGAACATCAGACAGGTTGAAGAGTGCACCAATAAGGCCTCCACCAACTTGAAGAAAATTAAAAGAGTTGTGAGACTCCCAGTGCAATAGTAGGGCCTCAGCTGATACAAACACTATGGACAGGGAGTTCTGATGATGTGCAACAACCTGAAGAGATAGCAACAGCAGGACCTAAGAGTTGAACTGCATCAATACTTCTAAGCTAGTTAGCCCAGAAAGAATATTGGAATCACCCAACAGGCCCTGTAGGAGGAACTCAGCTGACTGGCTCTCCTCTTCATTGTGGTACTCAGCAATTGGACAAATACCAACCACATGGTAGAAACCTACAATTGACACTATGGACTGTTGAGACTGTTGGGATTGAAAGACCAAATATTTACCCAAAAAGTGAAAATGGCAAAATGAAAAAGCAAAATGCAATCTCAAACATGTAGTCCACCTGGAGCAAGTACAGATGGCATTGAAATAGAGGACTTTAAAAGTCACACCAGAAATCTCTGAAAATATACCAAATGAAGTTAAGAAGCAAATCCATGAGGCTATGGAGGAAATCAAATTTAAAATAATGTCTTACATAAAGACAGAATTAACAACATTAGTAAAGAAGTTGTAAAATATAGCTAGAGAAGAAATAAATAAAAAAATACGGGAGCATGGGAAATTGATTGAAACATTGAATAAACAATGTGGAAAACAAGCAAAATCTAAGAAATAAATTCAAAGAGATATCCAAGAAACAAAAAATTCTATTGAAAGCTGTCAAAACTGTTAAATAAAGCTGAGGACAGAATTTCAAACTTTAAGGACAGATAGGAATCATCAAAGAGTAGAACTTATAAAAACAACACAGCAGCATGAACTGACAATCCAGAAGCTTCAAGATGATGCCAAGAGAAACAAAATAAGATTAATAGGCATCAATGAAGATGCAA